TGAGGAGTGTTCACAGAACAAATGCCCTGGTTCTCCCAATTCACTTGTTCGAGCCCGGTGCATTCACAAGTTTAATGCATACCTGGTACACGGAGAGAGAGAGAGAAAGAAAGAGAGAAAAACGAAACGGTTGATAGAGTCAAATCCAATCAGATTTTCGAGCGATGGAAAGTGAGTAGTTTTACGTGTGAACGTGTGTCTGTGTCTGTGCGTGTGTGTGTGTGTATGTATGTATGTATGTATGTGCATGGTTGTATGCGCGCGTATTTTCACGCCCGATTTGGACGTATTCAGACGTATTCCTCCGTTCTGTTTATTTGTGTTCGAAAATCAGATCAGAAGTAGATGTGGTTTGGGCACAAGGCAAGTTCTAAATTAATTCACACCGTTTTCAATGGCTAGAAAAAACACCATTGATGTAATGACACAAGTTGATTGCTGATTGCTGATTGTGAAGGATCCAGTTCGGAGAATACATAAACCACATTCTCATGCATGAAGAAGTGCTGTCTCCGAGCCACCAGACCGAACGTTCTGAAAGGAAATGATAAATGAAAATGCACAGAGGTTTCCAATCAAATAACGAAGTGGGAATTTGTATTTATCAGCTGATAACATAATAATGACATTACTGATGGTAAAGCATAGTTTTTGACTATAGGGAACAAGGTGTGGTGGGTTATAAATTTTCTGCGGTAACTTGTTTGTATCTGGTCGACCAGTCCAACTGCAAAACATGTGAATTCTTGGTCATCAGTTTCATTTAATAATAGCACTACTTATGAGTAGTTAAGAAACAGATCAACGATGAAGTTTGAGTACATGTCAAAGATTTCAAGAACCACTTGCCAGAGGGAGCAGAAACAAGAGACTGATGAATTGTCACACTTACCTTGCTGAAGGCAAACCTCTAGCACGCAGTTCAGGATCAGGGAAACTGAAAAAATAACAGAGTGGAAAGAAGATATTTGGAAAATGAATGTAACATGGTAAATGACCAAAGTAATCCAATCTTCCGTTAGCGTGCTCCAAGTGTGGTGATGGTGTTTCGTAGCCAGTGATGGTGAAACAATCTACCCCGTTTTATACTTATTTCATTCATAGCATATATGACCAAAAATAATCGATCGTTGTGATCAGAATGTGAGCTGTTGGTAACCGTGTTTCTTGGACAGATTCTGTAGTTTTCCTGTGCAACCCTGATACGAAAATATTTGCGATAAAACAGCCGAAGGTACCCACGGTTAAAATTGGACTATTCAAAAAATGTGTCCTTCTCATGATCAGAAAAGATTTATCACGTATCAGCCAGAGCAGTCGAACTTTTTGTGATGACAATCACATGTCACTGTGAGAGAGCGAGAGATTACAAACGCAGATGACATTGAATTCGGTCTTTTCAGTAGATTGTTCTCGAATGAATAGTTGATAATCAAAGGCATAACGACTCAGGCATAATCACGTCTGGGTTCATATGAGCCATGGTTTCATGTTGGGCAAAATACATCGGAATATTCAAGAGCAATTTTGAGAGCACTGAAAATGTGTCCCATTGCCGACTATTTTGCTCATACTTCTCCCTTCCCGGCATTAGGAATAATGTTTACTATAGATTGGTTTTCACTCATATTCTCTCGATGGATTTGTTCCACACGAGATGTGGAAATTGGGTGACGCGTGCAGATAGACAAATTCACGATAGAAAGCCATTAAATGGGTTGGTCAGATTATGCACAGGAAATCATCTTGATTATCTAGTCTACTGTTTCCCATTTGAGTAGTAGAGCCTTGAAACAGCTCACTTTATTATCATCCATATATGCAATAACACCAAATTACTAGTGTGTTGGTCGGTTTTGTGAGGCAAAAAATTGTATGCCGTTTAGTTACTGAGAGATTGAATGATTAAAAATAAATAACACGGCAAAACATTACAATCCCGGAGTATCTGAATTCCGACCTTGTTTTGAATATTGACAGAGTTTGGTCACAGCACAAACCCCAAATTACGGGAGCAAGAGCTCCACACGTTAACACAAGCCTCTACTGGCGAGTGACTACAGCTACCATCAATACTGACTTTACCATTACAATCAGTTGCCATCAATCAGACTCCGATCAATTCCCTGACCCACTATAATTGATTGAGCGGGTAACATGGAACTGACTACCACCTTGGACTGAGGATACAAAGACCTTGAGCAGGAAATTTGCTCACGTAGGTCGCGTTCGTCCTGCCAGGCAGGGACCTCGGGATCAATGGTTCGAGACACTGAGTGATGCGGCTGAGTGTCTCAAAGAGTGGTGCTCGTGTACATTCTGCATCGTTCGGAAACCCTAATATCCCAGAATTCCCTATTTTCACTTTGATACAGCTTTAAAAATTCCAATCTTCCCTCTACCCNAGCAATCGAAACCGCGGCACGAAAGTGCATGATTAATGATTTTGTAAACTGGGACTGAAACCTATTGTGTGAGTAGGTTAGTGTAAAGTGATGTATGAAGGATAAAATTTTATTCTGTTCTCTCTCTCATGGTACTGCTCCAAAAATATGCTCAACATCTGTTTGACGATACGAAATCCCTTCAGTGTGGACCCTATGCGGAGGATAAGTGAATCAACGGGTCAATCTGAGTATGTATATATATATATATTGTATGTTTCTCGCGAGTTTTACACTATACATGCACCATCTGGGACTACGGAAAGTTGTACAAGTTTTCTCATGCAGTTCGTTTCGGTCCAATCACAGATCTGATTACAGTCTCCCAGCTAGCTTATTTCAAGGTGATCTAAAGTTTACTAAATTTCTATTACCATGGGTTTGATGAAATATGGGGAATATTGCGACAATAATGCGTTTAAAGGATGAATTAAGTAAAAAAGAGAAACCTCACGTAGTGAGTGTAGTGTGACTCATGGGTAGTGATGGTGTCGCAGTGGTTTTGTCGCTGTCACTGGCATGCTTTGGATCCTACGGTTTGAGGTTCGAGCTCCGC